TTTTTTTTTTTTTTTGACGCTATCAAATGTTTCCTAAAGTTGATGCCCTGAACCAGAAGAACATTCAGCATCAATGCTTAATCGGTCCACCTCGGAACCATGATATGCGGTACGAGAAAAACTTGTTTCTGATTCTGCGTACTGTGGCGTTGTTGCGCAAGACGAACCAAAATCATAAATTAGAGATAAACTTGGGGTCCTAGATGGAAGTTGTAAATTTCTTACTGATAATCGTAGACTATCAGCGTCAGGAGTTACCACTATTTCCGGAATATAAGAACTCCTGTACCTAAATGATAATGTTATATTTTTTAAATGCTCACCTGTTAGGAGTTATATATTAAGTAAAAAATTTTTCTGATAAACGCTGATAAGCAGTGGTGTGTTAACAGAAGATAAAACTAAGAAAAATGAGAGAGAAGTGTGAAAAAAAAAAAAAGAAAAGGTAAACATAGGATTTCTGGCCTTTTGTTAGGCAACTGAAGACAGTCCGGTTTTTTGTGGTTATTTAAAAGTTGTGGGCTGCTATACCATTTGCACGATTCTACAGTAACCTTTTGGTTTTTTTGTAACCATGCACTAACTTTTCGTTTCGTCTTCAACAACCTTAGTCTTTGCCGTTGTTGCGTATCAAGCTCTTCACGGCATCTTAATACATCCAGCAAAATTTCCACCTATAAATCAGTTAGTTATTATGAAAAAAAAAGAAAACTATTCAAGTTATATTAACAGTGCAGTTTAAAGACTTTTTAGTTGTAATAGATACTGTTTTTATTTTTTTAACTTACAGTTCCAAAAGTATATAGAACACTGACATAAAGGTTTAGTAATCTAAGTTGTTAGAAAATACATAAAAGGATAAGAACTACTTAATGTGCAGTTTTTATATGACAGTGATAGTATTCTTTTTATGCTTTGCTCAAAATATAATAGAAAATTTTGCATGAAACAAAAATGTAGAACTACAAAAACTATAGCAAACATTTAGGTATACTCTGAAAATTCTCACTGTAGGAGGGCAATTTTTATCATTTTGTAAAGAGCAAAAATTTTAGCTGAAATGTCAATTCAATAATATTTATCAAAGTTACAAATTTCACCTTAAAATTAAATGATCATTGATTACTTGTGCGGGTTTCTGAATTACAGTTAACAGTTGCAAGCAATTTTTACGCTGTTATACACTTCAGTAAGACATTTGTGAAAACTGCTGATGATACATTTGTTAATTTTTGCAGCAAAAATGCAAAAAAAAAGAAAAATTCTTTTCGATAATGTCACTCACTATAAAAATGATATTTGAAAAGAATCGATAGAATAAAATTGTCTTACATTTGATAAGTCACATTTGTTTCATTGTTTTTTTTTTTGTTATTACGTCAAAAAAATGGACGAACGAAGAGGGGAAAAAAAGAAAACAGCTTATTGCGTCAAAAATGCGAAAACTTAGAATTCCAATAGCCAACAGCT